GCAAGAACTATAACAGCCTTGAAAATTTTCCTAATTTGTAGAAGGTGAAACATAAAACCACTTACACATCTCTGGCCTTTTAGAATTTGCAGACGAACACCACAACTACTGCATATGTCGATATTTTTATTTAGGCATTCCGAGCAACGCTGCTTGAAAACTAACAGGTTTGGCTGGTGCTCAAAACTCCCATCTTCCAACTGCTTTTCCTGCATAGTTTCAACATCGTAGAAAATGTATAAAATCTCCTCCGTTTTGGGTTTTCCTGAATCCTTCTGAATATGGCATAAATGTCCATGTGGCTGATGCTTTTTACAAATAGTACAAAATATTTCCCCACATGTATGGTCTCTTTTCGATTTCACAACCTTTAGACAGCCATCACATAATTTAATTTCATTACAAAGGGATTTACCCTTCTCGTATGAGCCTTCACTCTTATGGTGGTTGAAGCAATTGTCGTTCCTGAACCATCTGAGACAGTCGTTACATGTGATTTTCTCCGTTTTGTTGCAAATTGTGGGGCGTCTACAGCTGGGGCATGATCTCACGCATCTATGTTCATTTTTATGGTCGTATGGTACATGGCAATCCTGACAAAAATAGCTACAGCAAAACGCAGCGGTTACCGAAGTAATTACATTATAGTGTCCTGCGTGGTGAATTAAATTCAGATTCTTATTATTGGCTGCACGGTTTGATGGTGGCCCCGAAAAAATCAAGTCACGTCCTTTAGTTTTAGGTCCATATTTATACACAACAATTCGATAGTCCTCTAAATATTGCTGAAAAATTTCCAACTCGTGAATTCCGCAACCTTCTCCGGGAATTTCTACACGAGCTTGCTCCACCAGTTGTTTTGCCCGAAGTGTTTGAATTTTCCTTATATCGCGGCGCACTTTCGTATAGTCAGGGTCTTTATCGACAAATGCTTTGGCTACAACAAGGGCTCGAGGTAAACATAAGTTATCATCGTTTTTTACTACTGCTATTCCGCGACGATGTTGACACTATTCCTGAAAACTGTTGTACTTATTTCCTCTTCCCCAGTCCTACAGGCAATCTCACCGAAGTTACTCCCAAGCAAAAAGTTTCCGTGTCAAGACCCGACGAATTGGACTGGTAAATACTAGCAATTACATCCCAGACGACGTCCATCGTAATTTTTTCGGCCGGTCTGAAACTAATCCCACCGTCGCCTCGTGCAAAATCTTTACAACCAAAACTGATTGCAACTTGATCCGAGGGGAGAAGATCCTTTGTAGTCTTCCTAATAATATCGCCAATCGCCTCCTTAATCCACGTCGCGGGCTCCATATTTTCAGGGATTTTTTTAAATTTAAATTCTACAGTCCTACCTTGAAGTTTTAAAGCGGCGATTTTTTTTTACAAAACTCTTTGATGATGATAAATTTCTCCATTTAAATCTTTTTTTTTTAATCTAGGTGTACCTACCAACTACCAACCTATACTAACTGTGACGCAAAATTGTACTTCAATTAATAGTGATGGTTCACGATAGATTTTTTGCTTGGAATATTGCTGCTCTGTGTGCACGCCCGCGCTCGCTCCTGTAACGGAGAAGAACGAAAGGGTTTAAGCTTGTCGCAACAAGTTATCTCGAATATTTTATAGGAACTATAGCTTTAGACTTTAGTATCGAGTTTGTTGGTGCGCGACACTGAACAATGTCGTCTTTTCAGTTAGAGTTGGAAAGTTTTACTAGAAAATTACGTGTTTTGAAAAGAGATGTGGACAAACACTGTTTAAAACACTGTTTAAAACCCTTATTAACCAGTGAACGATAATTTTTCTATACCTATGCCAGTAATTATAATAATATAGGTAGATAGAAAAATACAACTACACATTGAAAATCACTTACTTTGTCTCGCTGGAAAATTTTCACTAGCACAACACCGATTAGCACGTCGCGAACTAGTGGAGGGATAAAAATACTAGCGGAATCTATGTTGAAGTAGATACAAATCCATCAATAATAAATTGGAAATTAGAAGTTAAAATTTTAGTAACGAGTAGAAGAGGTATACATGTGTAGCCTCTCAACTTTGCTACGAAAATGATTTTCAGAAACGTCCAGAGTTTTTTAGGTAAGCTTCGCAATTTTGTTTTTTCCCATGCCTTCAAGACATTCAAAATAACTATAAAGGATATAAATTGTATAATAAAAAATAACGATTTCGTTGGGGTTAGGGTCTGATCCTCTACGAAGTCCTTAGGCTTCAAATTTATGACCACCCCCAAGATCGGAGTGATCCGTCAGCAGGTGCTACCTGCCTTTTCATCCCCCCCGCGCGACGACGACGAGTGGAATCCATGAGAATTTTCATTTTAGCCTTTTCAACCGCACAGAGACGGACGATGAAATTTTAATATCGGATTTTCAACTATTCGCCAGCAGCCGGGATGACGAGACGCGTAGGTTATGGAATGGTAATTGTGATGATTTTTACGTTTTTGATATTACGAAATTATTTTTCTCTCCGATTTCAGACTGTATTTTTTTTTTTTTTTCACTTGATTCGGCGGTGAACTGTACGCCCCTGTCGGTCGTGGGGTTGCATCATTAAAAAGCCCTATGGGATAACAAGGGCTTTTAAGGGTTTAATAAATTGAGAAAAGATTCGCCACTTATCGTTATCTTGATTGTACATATGGACATCATGGTACATCGTGAGAAGAATTGTCCTAACGGCGAGCAGGTGGTTCGAGACCACCCTCCTCTGACGCAAAATGTTGGGGAGAAAAAAAAAACCTGATTCGTTCTTAGTTCAGGTTGAACTTTCAGTGCAATCAGTTTGTGCAGTGCTCTCTTAAGTTCCCCTTTTTTTTTTTTGATTTTGCAGTGCTTTTTAGAGTAAAGTTAATTTTTTTTTTTGTTGCTTTTTTTTTTTCTTCAATACCTAACTCTGCAAAATGGACAACCGGTAAGTGAATTCCTTAATTCTGTAGTGTATAGAAGTTATTTCGTTAATTTATCTAGAGTCTAAGAGGATGATTCTCACTTGAAAATATTTGGTGAAAATTCCCCAGCAGACCCGTACGCTTGCTCACTTTCCAGAACCTTATATTTTCATTTTAGCATGACGACATACTGCTACCGTTGCCACGTGCCCAATGGAGCGAATTTTAACCTGTTCCTGCGGTAGGGATCTCTGCGCTAGATGCTTCGCTCGCAGTCAAACGTGTTACTGGTGCCATGGGCCGTTCACGGCAGCAGCGACATTACGATTGCGGCGGGAGCGTTTGAGAGACCTCAGCGTTGATGCCTTTCAGGTAGGCGATTTTCCGAAATACCTTACTCCCCTTGATCATACTTTTTTTTTTTTTTTTTGTTTACTACAGGCTCAGCAATTACAGCAAGAAAAGGGACTTATCAGTAAGCCGATAGTCTTGGATTGGCCTATAGTAAGTTTTTCTACAAAACGACACCCTGTTTCATGTTTTTAAATTTTGTTTAAATTTACAGAACTTCTTTCTCCAAATTGATGATAGGCTCCATGCCAATGCTCGTGCTGCTGTTGCGGCCCCCGCTACCCCTGCTGCGGAGAATGCCCCGTCGGTGGCTTCGGAAATGGCCTATTTCTCCGATTCCGAGGCCACTTTAAATATCGTGGAGGAGCGGGAACGCCTGATGGAACTGCAGAGGCGGGATCGCGACATTGACCAGGATTTAGAGATGCTGGATTCGGATCGATCATCCGATTCCTTTGAGTTTTTCATGCCTAACGTGGCGCGACCGGAAGAGCAACCCGATATGGAAGACGGTAGAGATGATGCCATGGACGAGGAGGAGGAGGAGGAAGACTTAGACGCGGTAACCTTACTTATTTAGATTATTATTTCAACCGCTTTTCCATTATCACAGCACAATTATTATTATTCATACGCTATTCTTTCGCTTCCCGAAGGAATTCTCAATTTGCTTTATTCTCATTTTCAGATGTTTGAACGAGACCACCTAGAAGGAGATCCCTGGGAAAACGGCAACCTTTACGAACTGGAATTTGATGCTAGAATAGAACGCCGAGAAGAAAACCGCGAAGATAGTCCCATGGACGGAGAGGATGAGGAAATCTTATAAACGCTTATTTTTTTCTTAATTTTCAGGTGATTTTTTTTTTTCTTCCAGGAAACGACCGAGCCTCATTAATATTGTTTTCAATAAGATAATACTCGAAATAGCGAATATTACTTTATTAAAAATAATAGAGATAGGTCAAATAGTTTCTCAGAAAAATCTGGGGTCGTGCGTAAAGCCTGATTCATAAACTCTGGCGGTCAGACATGAACGGTGGAGTTTATGAATCAGGCTTTAATAAATCGGCTTCAACGGCGAGCCAGCCTGTTGCTGTTTTGGAATTAATTTTGAGGTAAAAATTCAAAAACCTAACTATATATGTAGCGTGATGATTTTTTTTTTATAGGTAAATCGTCAACGCGAAAAACAGGTCGAGACGTGTTTTCGTTCCAAGTTCTGGTTTAGACACACTGAAAATCACTCGAACACCCATCAGAGAACGAGCCAGATCCAGAGAGCTTCTAGAGAGACCCGGAGAAACACAGGAGGTGATGCTTTGCGGGGAGGTCCGTGACGAATGAAAAAAAAAAGGAGCTCGGACGAGGTAAACTAGATAAATTATTATTTTGGCTGATAATTACAGTATAATTATATTATTACATAATTCATAGTTCCAATTAAAATTGACATTTTCCTGCTCATTTTTAATTTGCTACAAATGTTTTTATTTTTCGTTGGTATCTATAATTTTCAATTTGGACTATGGATGCCTACCTACCTAGTAAAATGAAATTATTGACATGATTTTATTGGGTTTCAGAAGGTGAAAAACCACGACAACAGGCTAGCGTTCACCGATGCCAACATACGAAACATTAGACTTTATTTAAATTCCGATGTATATCCGTACGAGCGATGGAGTCTCGATTGTAACGGGTTTTCTTTGGTACTTGTCAGCTGTGGCAAGCTTATCGGTCAGGTAATACTTTTCGGTCAATTTTCCATCGGTTTTCTCGGGCGCCACCCTCGGGATTAACGTGGTCGAGGGTCCACGGGCACCAGGTAGCTTGTTACAGTGGAGAAAGAAAAACCAGGGGTCAATGCGCAGTCAGTTCAGAAATAAAACTCATGATGATGGTTCACAATAATAATATCCATAATTTATTCTCTTTAAATCGGTACGGTACGGAATAAACAAGAGAAACCAATTAATAACAGCTCTGGCTAAATAATAATTATCGGACAGGTAGAGAGAGAAGGGGAGTAGAGTGTGTAACGAGTGAGCGCGAAGAAAAGCGTGGATTACGGTGTCTTTGCGAAATAGAGAAGTTTGGGCGGTAACGGTAACAGTAACGGTAACGGTTTAATTAGAAAGAGAGAAAGAGAAAAGGCTCCGGACAAACCATGTTTAATTATACGCTCGCTCCCTTCAAGTCGTTTGTCCATGCTAATACAGCGCATGCGCGAGTTATGAATTCGGCTAGGATGCAAGTACCTTTTTGTCGGACACGGAGAGAGAAAAGCGCCAGGATACATCGCCGTAACCGGGATCCAGCACGATGGATTCTGCCGCTTGGCACAGAAGGTATGGCTCCACCCTGTAAACGGGACGCTGTGGTGGCGCCATACAGTCCGTGTTTATTAAACGGAGAAAAAGAAGGCAATGGGAAACATCGCCGGAACCGAAACACAGCACGATGGTTCCCATAATCTGGCACGGGCAGAATAGCTACACCCTGTAAGGTGGTAGACGCTTTTACTCATTGGGCGTCGACCGGTGAGATACCACCATGCCAGAATTGAGTAGCGCTAAGTGGTATCACCACGTTCCGCTACTGCGCTGGCAGTCCGGTTCCAACAATGAGTAACAGATAGCATGATGGCGCCTCCAGGATCAAAATATTCCGGAGGTAAAATACCCGACCACTCGGATCTCCGGGCGTCGGGTGATCCTGGGGGTCCTTCATGCAAAGATATAAAGAGAAGATCAAAAACTCAACTCAGAATTGATTTTAGCAATATAAGAGGAATAAGTACAAATATGAATTCAGTTCACCAACATCTTGAAGAACAAAGACCTGACATCCTTGTTCTCACTGAAACTAAAATCAGTTCTGCAACACCTATTGTGAACTATCTTTATCCCGGCTATGACCTACATCACCGATTTCGACATAATTTTGGGATCTGTGTGTACATTAAAAATGACCTTTCATGTCATCGAGAGGAGAAGCTAGAACCAGCGAACCTTGATATCATATGGCTAAAATTCACCTCAAAGTCATCGACCAAGTTTATCTGCTGCCTCTACCGACCGCCAAGTAACACCGATTACCAAAACTTTTTCGCGACATTATCCGAAAGCTGTGATAGTATACAGTCAAACTATCCACAGGCGGAAATTGTCTTTTTAGGCGATTTCAACGTCCACAATATACCCTGGCTGAAACACCACAACAAAACAGATAACGAAGGCAGAGAAGCAGAAGCTTTTGCCATAAGTTGTGGTCTAACGCAGCTTGTCGATGAACCTACCCGTATCTCAGAAAGGGGCGAATTTGCAGCGCTTTTAGACTTGTTCCTAACCACCAATCCTGACTCGTACACAATTCAAGTAGATACTCCACTTGGTTCGTCCGATCATAAACTTATAATAACAAAGTGCGAAATGCTCATCCCACCAAGCCTACAACCACTTCCTCGTAAAATGTGGCACTATAAATCGGCAAAATGGAATGACCTAAAACAGTATTACCTGGATTTTCCATGGCAAGAGGTTTGCTTTAAAACAGCTGATCCCACTATTTGCTGTAATGAAATAACACAAGTAATCTTATCTGGAATGGACGCATATATCCCACATACAACTAAACGTAGAGCTAATGCAAAACCTTGGTTCAACAGCCAGTGTCAAACGGCTGTACAGAAAAAACACAGAGCATATAACCTTTGGAAACGACAACAAACCGCTCAAAGCCACACAGAATTTATAGAAGCCAGAAATAGTTGCAAAATTACTATTGACTCCGCTAAAGAAACATACAATCAAAGAATAAAAAACAGGTTGCTGAATTGTCCAAGTAGTTCTAGGTCTTTTTGGTCTCTTGCAAAAGCTGTTGGATCTAACTTCACCAAGTCATCCATACCACCACTTACAGATAAAAATAATCACTTAGCCACAACATCAGAGGAAAAAGCCAATATGCTTGCCCAAATGTTTTCCTCCAACTCCAACCTCACAGTGCCAAACGGAAAAACTCCACCGTTCATTGAAAGGATTTCCCATAGTATGCCAGAGGTACCCTTTTGTCACAGAGAAATACGAAAATCCCTAAAAAAGCTGGATACAAACAAAGCAATGGGTCCGGATGGCATTCCCGCAATAGTACTCAAAAATTGCGCCAACGAACTTACCCCAACTTTCGCAAAATTATTCAATTTGTCTTACAGGCAAGGAGTATATCCATCATCATGGAAGTCTGCCGCAGTACAACCCATTCCAAAGAAAGGAAAAAAGACAGATCCGTTAAACTATAGACCAATTGCCCTACTTCCGGTGATATCAAAAGTAATGGAAAGAGTGCTGAACAATCACCTAACCAAGTACTTGGAAAAGTACAAAATTATCAACGATAAGCAATACGGATTTCGAAAATATAGATCAACTGGCGATTTACTTACATACGTCACTCACTTATGGCAAAAAGCGATTGAGTTGCGGGGTGAAACAAGAACAATTGCCTTAGATATATCTAAAGCATTCGACAAAGTTTGGCATGAAAATCTGCTCAACAAGCTCAAAGCAATGGGATTATCGCCGAAACTTTGCACTTGGTTTGAAAGTTACCTAAAGGACAGATCCATTTATGTTGCACTGGATGGCCAGAACTCCAACTCTTACCAAATAAATGCTGGTGTGCCACAGGGAGCAATCCTTTCGCCAACTCTTTTCCTGATTTACATAAATGACCTCATAGATAAAACAGTAAATCCAGTTTATTGCTTTGCAGACGATGGCAATGTAGTCTCCTCACTCATACCACCCACAAGTCTTTCCGCACGTGAATTCCATCATCTTAGACTAACTCAAATATCGCAGATAAATAACGACCTGGAGATAATAGAGGACTGGGGTAACAAAAACCTTGTACAGCTCAACGCACAGAAAACCCAAGCAGCTCTGTTTTCAAAAAAGAACACCACCGGTGAGCCAAACATCATGCTATCTGGAAGTGCTGTCACATTACAGAGTCAGTTGAACATCTTGGGGGTTACTGCAGAGACCAACATGTCTTGGCACAGTCACGTGGCAGATATTGCTAAAAGGGCCTCCCAAAAGCTGGGGGTGCTATTTCGTACAAGACATCTGTACACACCAAGCCAATTGCTGACACTCTACAAAGCCCAGATTCGACCAACTATGGAGTACTGCTCACATATATGGAGTGCAGCACCCAAACATACCTTAATGCTTTTGAATACCGTGCAAAAACGAGCTATCAAGTTGATCAATGACCCCGCACTTACTCGTAACTTGGATGGTCTCGAACATCGCAGATCTGTGGGCGATTTATCTCTCTTCTACAGGTACTATCACGGAAAATGCTCTGAAGAGTTGGCACGTATGATTCCACCGAGAGTAGCACCTACCAGGCGAACCCGTCAAACAGACGGTAACCATGAATTTACTGTCAAACTAGAGGCACCAAGAACCTCATTATATCAGAATTCATATCTCTGGAGAACAGCATCGCTGTGGAATAAACTCCCTGCGACGGTTTTCCCTGCAGGTTACAACCTGAACCGTTTCAAGACCAACATACACCGACATTTCCGCGCACTTGCCGCTTCTCGAGCGTGATAGGACATTTCCTTGCGAATGCGCATATCCGTAAAAAAAAAAAAAAAAAAAAAAACGGGACGCTGTGGTGTTGCCATTCAGCCCATGTGATGACGAGGTCGAATAAGGTTAGCGAGAAGCATCGCGGGAACCGCAGCACAGCACGATGATTCTCACAACCCGGCACGGAAAGAATAGTTCCACCCTGTAAACGAGGTCCGGA